GAGTCGTCGGAAGATCATGATGAGAGAGAATGACCAACCTCACCCGACTGAAAATTCTTAAGCTCTCACAACCCGAGCGATTGACAGTCGAACGAAGAAGACAAGGCCCTGGTGCGACCACTGTCGGAAGCTAGGGCACACTCGGGAACGTTGCTGGAAGCTTCACGGCAAGCCAAGTGACTGGAAACCACCTTCGGGTAAGTGGAAAATGTCAAAAGCAGAGACCTCCAGCAAGCTTCGAGGAAATCACGTGATGGCTGAGGAAGTAATTTCTGATGAGATGGGAAAAGACCCATTTACCCCTGAACAATTGGAAGCCCTCCAACAAATCTTGTCCAAGAAATCCCACCTGGTCAGTGCCTCTGTGGCACACAAAGGTAATATTCATGGCTTATCTGTTCTTTCAGAAAAAGGACAGGTGTGGGTGGTAGACTCTGGAGCATCTGATCATATGAGTGGCGATTTCTCAACGTTCCAAAATTACAAAAGATGTGAAGAAAATATTTCAATCAGAATTGTAGATGGTTCTCACTCAAAAGTGGCAGGAATGAGCTTTGTAAATTTGTCTCCAAAGTTGACTCTTTGTTCAGTTCTCTATGTTCCAAATTTGGATTGTAATTTGTTGTTTGTTAGCAAGCTATGTGAAGATTGAAATGTGCTGTGAAATTTGTTTCTAATATGTATAATTTTCAGGATTTGGACTCGGGGAGGACAATTGCAATGCTAGGATGAGCTCGAGATTATATTTGCTTCAAGTCAACATTTCTAAAAGACAAGCTCACAATGCAGTATGTGAAAATTCTGTTCCTATTTTCAAAAATAATGACCATAATATTATGTTGTGGCACTATAAACTAGGACATCCAAACTTCATGTACTTGAAAAAGATGTTCCTACTACTATTTAAAGGAAAAGATCTAGTTTCATTACAGTGTGAAATTTGTCAATTTTCTAAACATACTCGAAGTTCATTCCAGAGTCTACTATATAAACCGTCTAAATCATTTGCATTAATTCACAATGATGATTGGGGCCCTTTCAGGGTTTCCAACGTTTCCGGAACTAGGTGGTTTGTATCTTTTATTGATGACCACACAAGAATTACTTGGGTATTTTTCATGAAGGAAAAATCTGAAATGAGATCCCTATCTAAAAAATTTCATACAATGATTCGAACCCAATTTCATGCTACCATCTAAGTATTGAAATCCGACAATGCTTGTGAATATTTTGAAAATACTCTTGAAAAATACTTTACTGAACATGATGTTATTCATCAAACCTCATGTGTTCATACTCCACAACAAAACGACATAGCCGAAAGAAAAAACAGACATATTCTTGAGGTTGCCAGATCTCTCATGTTCACCACATATGTACCAAAATATATTTGGGGAGAGGCAGTCCTTTCAGCTACCTATTTGATTAATCGGATGCCCTCTTGCATCCTAAAGTTTCAATCATTATACACTATCCTCTCAAAAATTTTTCCTGGTTCTCACATCTTAAACACCTTGCTACTTAAAGTTTTTATTTGTTTAGCATATGTTCACATTCATAAAAATCTTCAAGTATTTTTGTTGGGTACTCAGCAAATCAAAAAGGATATAAATGTCTAGTTCTGGAAACCCGCCGATTTTATAATACTATGGACGTCACCTTTTTTTAGAATCAATTGTTTTATCCTACCACTGATATTCAGGGAGAGACATTTACTCAAGAATATTAGTTGTGGGATGTGAGTGTACCACCTCTCTACCCACAAAATCCTTCACCAAACAAACTTTCCCTGGAAATTGAACCTGAAACTTCATAGAAGAAATCAGAACCAAAACCAGTTATAGAAAGCACATTACCTGCGACGAGTGAGCTACGTATATATAGAAGAAGAAACAAAGGAAAAACACCCGAATCATCCAAGCACTACCATGAATCCACCACTGATCCAGGTAACGTAATCTCTGTACCAACTCTTAATTCCGTTGATTCTGATATTCTTATTGCCTTGAGGAATGGTATTCGAACATGCACCAAACATCCTATACAGGACTATGTTTCATTGAACAAATTATCCTAGAAACATCATGCTTTTGTGTACAGGATAGACAACAGCTCACCTGAACCCAGAACAATACATAAGGCCTTGAAATTCCAGAATGGAAGTTAGGTGTCGTAGATGAGATCAATGCACTTGAAAAGAATGAGACATGGGAACTAACTGATCTTCCTCCAGAAAAGCGTCAAGTGAGATGCAAATGAGTTTTTACAACCAAGTATAATCCAGATGGGAGTGTGAACAGGCTTAAGGCCCGACTGGTAGCCAAAGGCTATACACAATCATATGGCGTAGATTATTAGAAGACGTTTGCACCAGTTGCCGAGCACAATACTATTCGGGTACTCCTCTCACTTGCATCTACCTTTGACTGGCCACTGTGTCAATTAGATGTAAAGAATGCATTTCTTAATAGTGATTTGGAAGAAGAGGTGTATATGAATATACCACAGGGGTTTAAATTAACTGACAACTCTCAGAAAGTGTATAAATTGAAGAAATCACTTTATGGCCTAAAACAATCTCCATGGGTATGGTTTGACAGATTCACACGAGCTGTAAAACATAAAAAATATGAATAATGTCAATCCGACCATACATTGTTCGTCAAACATTGCATATCAGGTAAGAAACCTATTTTGATTGTATATGTTGATGATATCATTCTTATAGGAGATCACCTTGAGGAGATTCAGAAACTTAAAGAATTTTTGGCCAAAGAATTTGAAATAAAAGATTTTGGAGTACTTAAGTACTTCCTTGGTATGGAAGTGGCTAGATCAAAAAAGAGAATTTCAGTTTCTCAACGAAAGTACATTTTAGATATCCTAAAAGAGACTAGGATGCTAGGAAGCAAGCCTGCTGACATCCCTATGGATTCAGTTATCAAACTTGGATCCAGAATCAATGATAAAATGGTTGACAAATGGAGATACCAGAGACTTGTTGGAAATTTATTTACTTGCCTCACACAAGACAAGACATCAGTTTTGCAGTAAGTATAGTAAGTCAGTTCATGCATCAGCCAACTGAAGATCACATGAGTGCTATGTATTGAATTATGAGGTATCTCAAAAAAACTCCATGACAGGGTTTATTCTTTCAGAAGACAGATAGAAGGGGTGTTGAAATTTACACGGATGCAGATTGGACAGGTTCTACAAATGACAGCAGATCTACATTAAGATATTATACCTATGTTTGGGGTAACCTGTTTACCTGGAGAAGTAAGAAATATTCTGTTGTGTCTTGCATCAATGCACACTCTGAA